ATTCAACCCAAAATTACTAAATTATTTGTAAATCTGAAGACATATACGTGTATGACAAAATTGACAGACCTTTTTATTTTATCTAGCTTCAATAATATATTTTTAGGTTATGTTTACGGCATATATTACTACTGTTATAATTGCAAGAATTTAAATATAAAAAATATGTTTCTGAAAAAAATAAGACTGTCCATGAATTAGTCTTTAATTAAACCATCAATTATTTGTCATAAATGTAGCTGGTTGTCTCTAGACTTAGTAGGTCCATGTGATTCAAATTATGTTTTTAAAATCGTTGGGATCATATTATGCGACCAATCTTTTTAAACTCTACTTTCAGAGTTATAGAATTGTTTTAAAGTCACCAAACGAGGTCCTTTTTAATCATTTTGATATTAATTGATTGTAATATAAATTTCAATGATGGGTGAATTATTATTTATGCCGATACAACAATAGACGTATATTTAAAATTTAAAAATTTGTGGAATAGTAAAAACAACCCTGTTAAAAAGGTACATTGTTTAATAACTTGTTGTAAAAAGTGAAATGTTATGTCAACAAAACCCACTCACAGCGAAAAACAACACAATGAAAGTAATGATAGTATATTAACAATCAATTATGAAAGATATAAACCGGCGCCAGTAAAGCTACCAATGACGATAGTAATACAGCAATGGTTTCAAAAAGTACATAAAATGATATTTATTTCAATAGTAAATAAGCATGAAAAAATAATATAATAAAATTTCATAAAATATTGTAGTATTTAAGTCTTTAAGAACTGTCAGCGCAAGCGAAATAATACGTTAGTATGGATAATGAAGGTTCATAAAAAAAGGTATGAAAATATTTGATAATATTTACATTAATGGCTATAAAGTTTAATAAACAAACGAAAAAAACAAAATGGTTTTGGCAAAAAGTTTATTGATCGGAATGATAAACCCACTTCACTATTTAAAATTTTGCTCTTTGACATAATAAACTGGATTACGTGTCTTGTACCTTGCTTATTTTTAATGGCAAGCGCGTTTATCTAACAAAGTATAAATAAGTTACAGTAGCCTCCAAAAATTTATCGCCGTCACGTGAAAAATATAAATTTCCTTATTTCTAATAATTTTTATAGATTGTAGCCCAAAAAAACAAATCGAAATAAAAGAACGTTTAGAGTATAAAGAAGTAAAAATACATTTTAACTAGTTAATCATGCTATACAAAATATGTTTTTCAATAAATCAATTGAGTCTGAATAGAAACCAAAAAAGTATTTGCTTTTTTTTTCGCTTCATTCCAACTATTTTTTTTTTTTCAAATGACAATACAATGAATGTTACATAGATTTTGTATTTTGAGTGTCATCGCAGCGTTAAAATTTCTGTCATATTTTTTTCTTCCGAATACTTTCCTACATTTTGATCCATGCTTAGCAAACAATACATTACATAAAATGCACGATAGTTAACCTAAATTCTTAACAATTGAGCTATTGTAGCCACCTTTATAGCCTATTGAAAAGTATATTCCGCGAAACTTTAAAATAAATAATAGTGTCACATTGTACAGAGATTAATAATACGTGTCGCACTTTAAGTTATTTGTGATAAATTCGGTCTAAAATATTAGCGACCAAGAACAATTCTCTTGATTCAAGCTAAATTCTTTACATTCACTTCTTAAATAATTTTATGTTAACATTTCTAAAATAATCTATAGTTGCTCTTTACAAACTGACATTTATCAGAATTAATTGAGCCCGATGAGTTTTAAACTTTAAAGCTCGCAGTCTGATTTTCTTTCAGTTGTGCCCATTTTATTCGCTAGTTAATAATTAAATCTGATTGGCTATATAATAATATCGATAATAACACTTCGCAATGCATCTGTTTTAAAATATTTGCTTGATTAAAAAATAGTGCAAATTCGAAATATGTTGTCAGTTCAAATTATTCGATTATAGTTGAGTTTTTGATACCTTCATAATCAAATTGTGTTATGCAAGTATGCAATTTTTGCATCTTCTAAGTAGAAATGTACTCATTTAAGAATCACCTGAATATAATCCATCGGATTTTTTTACTTCTTTTAAGGTCTTTTAAAAACGCGGATTAATATCATAGTAATATTGGGACATAATAGATTATATAATAGCTAATGTTTTGAAATACTGTATGATTACTAGTATTTTTGAATAATTTAATTTATTAATTTATATTTATGATCAGAATATATTGTCTAAAGCTTAAACATAAACGTTACCTGTCTTAATAAAATAGGTTTAATATTATTTTTAGTCCGTGTGCACAAAAATATCTAATAATCTAAGTATTTAAATCCATGAATATTTACTATTGAATTTTATTCTAGATCGTGAACATACAGTAAGAAACATTTGTTACTTAAACTACTGCATTATACAGTAAGCTATTGGTTTATACAGATGTCTTTATAAGGCCATTTGAAGTTAAACTCTCGTTTCATGTTACACAGGGAGGGAATTAAACATGTATAAAAATGAATATAAAATGTACTGAACTCCAAATGTAACCGAAAAACCGATTACCGATCCAACCATCATATCGACCAATTTGTCACTTCTTTTTGTTTAATTTGAAGAGGTGAGTCAGAGGTGAAGGGATAACGTTAAATGGAAATTCAACTTCAAACAGTCTAACTGAAGTTGTATGTGTAGTAAGAACACTCTTTACAAATGAGAGTAAAATAATATATATATGTGTTTATAATTTGAAATTTTAATGAATAAATATTACCATTCCTTGTTTTCTTTAATAATATTTTCTGTTTGAGCCGATCTCGTCTATTTATTAAACCCAATTTTTCACTCTTGCAGCCTTTTTGTTCGGCATATAAATTTGGTTTTCCATTTTAGAAACTTTCGATTGAATTGTTGAGAGATAACCTAAAATTAAGCAAATCATAACCTAAATTTATACATAATGAAGCTTGCATCTAACCGATTATCCCACCTTCAATCGATTACTTTTTTACCGATAAACGATTTATCCGTTAAATAAAAATCTGATCACAACCAATCGGTTAAATTTTGGGATACAAACAAAATTAGCCCAGATGTTGTAATATGGGCTGCGATCTACAAATAATTTATCAAGGATACATCATTTTGCAAATATTCCGATTTCATCCCATTATTTAGTAATCGTTTAGGTTGAATATTTCACATTCATAATGTAGGTTTTCATAAAAACTTTGACATTGACACTATTAATAGAGATCGTATTAATAGAAGATCGAAATGGCAATTCAATGAACTTTTATTAATAATGATTTTGCATGCATTTCTTTTTCTAAATTTAATTATCATATATTATCGAAAAAGGCATAAAAGGGACCCCTCCTAATTTTGGAACAAAAAGTTCTTGAGAAAGTTAATATATTTTAATAACAAGTTGAAGCAAACCCTTCAACTTAGTCCAAAATAACACTTTTTTTTTTTCTTGCAACATTTCATAAATTTTAATGATTTTTAAAAAGAATGTTGTTATTTAACGAGTGCTTTCTTAAATGTTTAATAACCTTTGAACTCACTATAGAAGCTTATTGTGTCTTCTTATAACGTCTCTGGCGTACAATTGTTATGCTAATATTATGAAGCAAATGTATTCTATTTTGATTTTCCCATATTTCATTCATTGATATGAGGATAACATGATAGTGTGAAGCTTCTGATGTCATAAAATACGTTCCAACCCGTGTTTCTCTTTCATATTGATTAACATGTATAAAGAGTGAAGCATTTATTTAATAAACAGAACTTTGTTTCCATCATAAAGTAACATAGTCATAATGATTTTCTCTCATTAAGTTCACACCATCATTAAGCCACCATTATAGAATTACCATGCCCTTAAAAACTCCGTATCATTCAATCCATATAACTTCTAGTAGCGGCTGGAGCATTAACCATAGCCGCCGCAACAAAATTGTCATGGCGGATTCTCGATTTTGATTGGCTAACGGCCGTGATCTGCAAAATTTTTGGCCCGCATTACAAAATTGGTTATTAATTTCCGGCCGGAATTAACTTTTTGATTTTTTCATTACAAAGCTCGCACTATGGTAAAATTGGCCCAGGAAAAATTTTTACTTAATAGGCGGCTGCGATTTTATTAGTAAAAATTTGAGTAATTCCGCCTAATTTTGGAGTATTTGTTATGCATCTTTCGTTACACAGCACTACACCAATTCAATGCATCTGCATCCCGTGCAACTCAAACATTTGATAAATTAAAATTTGTAATACAGTACTATACGTAATGTGAATTTTTTTTTAAAGCTATTGTCGCTATACTTTATCAAAATGAATAGAGAAAGGGTATTCGAATTCCATAAACACTTTATACAAACTATTGATTCATCTGATTGGAATGCTAGGTTATGTTGGCTTAAAAAAGTTTTATTAAAATTAAATAAAACAGAGCATGTTCATTACGAAATTAAAGGATCTGAAATTGGCGACATTATCCCTTATATCGCACCAGAATTCTTAAAAATCTCATGGGGAAAATCAAACCTACTCACTCAATCCGCAAATATCTATAGGTTTGGTGTAATTATGACCGAGGTATCATCAGGAACACTAGCATTTGGCAGATATGACTTTGATTACTATCTTAAAATGTGTATTTGTAATGGACTGAGACCTAACTGTGCACCTGGTACACCTGAATATTATGTAGAATTGGCCAACCAATGCATGAATGTTGATCCCGATAAACGACCTACTATAGAAGATATTCATGATAAAATTAATAATTGGATAAATTCAAATGAAAATAAGCAACGATTTGAATCAATTGAGAAACTTAAAAAAATTCAACTTAAATACAATATTGAATGGATTCCATTTGATAGATTAATCAATATAATAATTATAGGAGAAGATGACTTTAGCACCGAATACAAAGCAAGGCTGTTGGATGATAGATCATATAATTATTATGATAATGATATACATGAGTCGCTAAATTTTGTTACTCTCAAGACTATAACTCTAAAAGAATTTGAAAATAATATTGAGAAATATTTAATATTAGGTGTATATGGGTTGACTCTGAACCCTGAAATAAACGAATATATGATAGTATTTCAATATAATAAATATAATATTAAATGGATTCTATTTAATAGATTAACAGATATAATAGTTATAGGAAAAGATGGATTTAGCACTGTATACAAAGCAAGGTTGTTAGAAGATAGATCACATCGTTATGATATATGTGAGTCGCTAAGTTTTGTTACTCTCAAGACTATAAATCTAAAAGAATTTGTAAATCATATTGAGAAATATTTAACGTTAAGTGTATATGGGTTGACTCTGAACCCTGAAATAAACGAATATATGATAGTGCTTCAATATAATGAATATAATATTAAATGGATTCCATTTAATAGATTAGTCAATATAATAATTATAGGAAAGGATGGATTTAGCACTGTATACAAAGCAAGGCTGTTGGATGATAGATCATATTATTATTATGATAATGATATACATGAGTCGCTAAGTTTTGTTACTTTCAAGCCTATAAATCTAAACGAATTTGTAAATCATATTGAGAAACATTTAACGTTAAGTGTATATATGGGTTGACTCTGAACCCTAAAATAAACGAATATATGATAGTATTTCAATATAATAAATATAATATTAAATGTATTCCATTTAATAGATTAGCTGATATGATGATTATAGTAAAAGATGGATTTAGCACTATATACAAAGCAAGGCTGTTGGAAACTATGAAAACTAGATCTTATCGTAGTTTAGTGTATAGTGATGTGTATAGTGATGTTACTCTCAAGACTATAACTCTAAAAGAATTTGTAAATCATATTGAGAAATATTTAACGTTAAACGTATATGGGTTTACTTGGAACCCTAAAATAAACGAATATATGATAATATTTCAATATAATAAAGATAGTAAAATCGTAGATCTTCTTTACTGTTACTTAAAAGAAGATTTAAAATGGGAACAAAAATTAGAGATACTTTTAGATATTTTGAACAATTTAAAAAAATTTGATGATGTGGAATTTGCTCATTCTGATATTCATAGTGAAAACATTTTACAAGATGATGATGTTTATGGTTACATAGTATCATCCTATATTTCTAATTTAGGATTAGTTAGAAACGAAAAAGAGAAAACTAGTGAGATTTGTGGAGTATTGCCATATATCAGTCCTGAAGTCTTACAAGGAAAGCCATACACACAAGCCGCAGATGTTTACGGATTGGGTGTTATTATGTGGGAATTATCCACTGGACAAAGACCATATGATGTTATTATGTGGGAATTATCCGCTGAACAAAGACCATATAATGAAAAACAGTTTGATTTTAATCTTTTAGACATACGTAAAGAATTACGTCCTGGATTTACTCCTAAATGTTATGTAGAATTGGCCAAACAATGCATGGATTCTAATCCTGATAAACGACCTACTATAAAAGATATTCATGATAAACTTAATAATTGGATGAGTTCAAATGAAATCAAACAACTATTTGAGAAATTTGAGAATCAGAGATTCAGAAGAGCTGAAAATTTTTAAAAAATTCAGCTTAAATATAAAATTGAATGGATTCCATTTAATAGATTAACCGATATAATAATTATTGGAAAAGATGGATTTAGCACTCTATGCAAAGCAATGCTGTTGGATGCTAGGGAAGTTACTCTCAAGACTATAACTCTAAAAGAATTAGAAAATCATATTGATAAATATTTAACGTTAAGTGTATATGGATTGACACTGAACCCTAAAATAAACGAATATATGATAATATTTCGATAATAAAATCGTAGATCTTCTTCTTCACTGTTACTTAAAAGAAGATTTAAAATGGGAACATAAATTAGAGATATTTTTAGATATTTTGAACAATTTAAAAAAAATTCATGATGTGGGGTTGGCTCATTCTGATCTTCATAGTGAAAACATTTTACAAGATGATGATGTTTATGGTTACATTGCATCATCCTATATTTCTAATTTAGGTTTAGCTAGAAAAGAAAATAAGAAAACTGGCGAGATTTATGGAGTATTGCCATATGTTAGTCCTGAAGTCTTAAAAGGAAAGCCATTCACACAAGCCGCAGATGTTTACGGATTGGGTGTTATTATGTGGGAATTATCCACTGGACAAAGACCATATGATGGTATTATGTGGGAATTACCCACTGGACAAAGACCATATGATGTTATTATGTGGAAATTGTTCACTGGACAAAGACCATATGATGAAAGACAGTTTGACCTTAATCTTTTATTAGACGTATGTAAAATATCACGTCCTGGATTTGCTCCTAAATGTTATGTAGAATTAGCCAAACGATGCATGGATTCTGATCCTGATAAACGACCTACTATAAAAGATATTCATGATAAAATTAATAATTGGATAAGTTCAAACAAAATCAAACAATTATTTGAGAAATTCGAGAATTAAAGGTTTAAGAAAGCTGAAACATTTAAAAAAATTCAACTTGCTTATAATATTAAATGGATTCCATTTGATAAATTAATCGATATAATAATTATAGGAAAAGATGGATTTAGCACTGTATACAAAGCAAGATTGTTGGATAGTGGTGATGAAAATAATATGCATGAGTTGCCAAGTTTTGTTGTTCTAAAGACTATAACTCTAAAAGAATTTGAAAATCATATTGAGAAATATTTAACGTTAAATATATTTGGGTTGACTATGAACCATATAATAAACGAATATATGATAGTATTTCAATATAGTAGAAACGTAGATATTCTTCACTGTTACTTAAAAGAAGATTTAAAATGGGAACAAAAATTAGAGGCACTTTTAGATATTTTGAACGGTTTAAAAAAAATTCATGATGTGGGATTGGTTCATTCGGATCTTTATAGTGAAAACATTTTACAAGATGATGTTTATGGTTACATATTATCATCCTATATTTCTAATTTAGTGTTAGCTAGAAAAGAAAATGAGAAAGCTGGTGAGATTTATGGAGTATTGCCATATGTTAGTCCTGAAGTCTTACAAGGAAAACCATTCACACAAGCTGCAGATGTTTATGGATTGGGTATTATTATGTGGGAATTATCTACTGGACAAAGACCATATGATGGAAGACAGTTTGATCATAATCTTTTATTAGACATATGTAAAGGATTACGTCCTGGATTTGCACCAGAAACTCCTAAATGTTATGTAGAATTGGCCAAACAATGCATGGATTCTGATCTTGATAAACGACCTACTATAGAATATATTCATAATAAAATTAATAATTGGATAAGTTCAACCGAGATCAAACAACTATTTGAGAAATTCGAGAATCAGAGGCTCAAGAAAGCTGAAAATTTTAAAAAAATTCAACTTGAGTATAATATTAAATGGATTCCATTTCATCGATTAACCGGTGTTGAAATTATATGAAAGGGTGGATTTAGCACTGTGTATAGAGCAATATGGTTGGATAATCCAAATTATAGTGAAAACCTATATGATGATGATATGTATGAATTACCTGGTACTGTTGCTCTTAAGACTATAACACCGAAAGAATTTGAAAACCACATAAAATGCCATAAGGAATATGTAATTTTAGATGTACAGTATATGGATTCACTCTGAAGCCTGAAACGGACGAATATATGATGATATTTCAATATGCTAAAAATGGATGCCTCTATAATTACTTAAACAAAAATTTTCAAAATTTAAAGTGGGAAAAAAAATTAGAGATGCTTTTAGATATTTTAAATAATTTAAAGCAAATTCATAAAGTGGGATTGATTCATTCGGATATTCATAGTGGAAACGTTTTACAAGATGATGATGGTTATGGTTACAAAGGAACATCTTATATTGCTGATTTAGGCTTAGCTAGAAAAGAGAATGAGGAAGTTGGTAAGATTTATGGCATATTACCATATGTTAGTCCTGAAGTTTTACAAGGAAACCCATTCACACGAGCAGCAGATATTTACGGATTAGGTGTTATTATCTACAGGGCAAAGACCTTTTGATGGTTATAAATTTGATAATGAACTCGCATTAAAGATTTGCTTTGGATTACGTCCTGAAATTGCACCAGGAACCCCTGAATGTTATGTAGAAATGGCTAAGCAATGCATGAATTCTGATCCCGATAAACGACCTACTGCAGAAGATATTCATAATAAAATCAATAATTGGCTTCAATTATTATATAAAGGTTTATATGAAGACAATGAAATGTATCAAGAATTTACAGAAGCCGACAAGTACAAGCCGAAACCTGTTGCACCGAAACATCCTAATCACATGTATACGAGCAAAGCGATCAATACACAGGAGATCAAACAATTAACAAAAATGTTAAAAAATATGAAATTAAGTGAACAAATTGTTTCTGTAGAAATTCCTTATTAATTATTGATTATATTTGAATTTAAATATTTTTATTCTTGTAGAAATTCCAGAGGATTATTAAAAAATTTATAAAAAAGTTTTTATTGTACCAACGTTAATAAAAATATGAAATTTAAACCAAAATTACTAAATCTGAAGACTTGTATGACAAAAATGTCAGACTTTTTCATTTTATCTAGCTTCAATAATATATTTTCAGGTTATGGATTTCACTTTGTTTACGGCATATATTACTACTGTTCTAATTGCAAGAATTTAAATATAAAAAATATGTTTCTGAAAAGAATAAGACTGTCGTGAATTAGTCTTTAAATAAACCGTCATAAATGTAGTAGGTTGTATCTGGACTTAGTAGGTCCTTGTGATTCAAATTGAAAAAAAGAAAGGCACATGATTCTGGCAATCTTTATATTTATTGTAGTAGCGTCAAGGTCAGTCATTACTGCTCGGTTAACACTTCACGTTTTTTTAAATTTATAGTTATTATACTTTTTTGTTTTTCGGTAGGTAAAAATAATAACGATACAAACTTAATCTAAGGTCATGTAAATTAAATTAGTTGTTCCCGTTACAGCCAGCCGGCAAAAATGGTATATTTAAAAAAAATTTTCATATAAAAACTTTTTATAAATTTTCTAAAAAGTTATCAGGTCAGGTAACGAGAAACAATTTTTTTTTTTGCATGGCCTAAGTTATATATATTTTAAAATCACTGGAATCATATGATGCGACGATCTTTTTAAGCTCTACTTTCAGCGTTATAGAATTGATCTATTTGAGAATTTTAAAGTCGACAAATGAGATCCTTTTATAATTATTTCTATTATTAAGTGATTGTCATATAGATTTAAATAATAATTGAATTATTACTTATGCCGATACAACAATAGACATGTATTTAAAAGAAACTAAATTTTAAAAATTTGTGAAGATCGACACTGTTAAAAAGGTAATAGCGTTTAATAACTTGTAAAAAGTGAAATGATATGTCAACAAAACACTCTCACAGCGAAAACAAAGCAATGAAAGAGAAAACAGCTTCAATGACAGTAATGATAGTATATAAACTATCAATTATGGAAGATATAAGCCGGCGCCAGCAAAGCTACAAATGACGATAGTAACATCGATGGTTTCAGAAAGTGTATAAATGATATTTATTTCAATATGTAGTTTAGTAAATGGACAATTTATCATAATGAAAAATGTAATATAATAAAAATTCACAAAATATTGTAGTATTTAAGAAGTCTTTAAGAACTGTCAGCGCAAACGAAAGGTATAATAGTAATCATAATGATACGTTAGTATGGTCCATAAAAAGTATAAAATATTTGAACAATATTTACTTTAATAGTTATAACGTTTTAATAAGCAAGTGAAAAAACAAGTTGGTTTGGACAAAAAGTTTGTTGACCGGAATGATAAACCCACTGCACATTCTTCACTATTTAAAATAACATAACAAAGTATAAATAAGTTACAGTAGCCGCCTCCAAAAATTTATCGTCTTCACATGAAAAATCATACGTTGACGATACATATTTTAAATTTCCTTATTTGGATCAAATTTTTATTATTCTGAAATTTATGGAGGGTTTTTTTCCGAATACTTTTCTCCATTTTGATCCATGCCTAGCAAACATAAACTGCACAATAGTTAACCTAAATTCTTAACCATTGATATTATATATCTATATAGCCTATTGAAAAGTATATCCCGCGCAACTTTAAATAAATATTGTGTCGCATTGTACAGAGATTAATAATACGTACCGCTTTTTAAACCGAAAAAAAATAGCTATTTGTGATAAATTCGTTCTAAAATATTAGCAACCAAGAACAATTCTTTAGTGTTTCAACCCGGGTCAACCGTGAATCAACCCGTCACCATATAATAATTGGGCAATAAAAAAGTTAAATTACGAATTTAACTCTAAAAGAGATACTGTAGTAGGAACGAAAAGTGTGCAAATTTAAACTGACGTAATATTTCTGAAGCTTAGTGCCAGAATGCGAACCTCAGTATATTGTACATGGATAAACAAGTATGGATAATTGTATTAAAGATTTTCATTAATGCTACGGAGTATGAGAGTGCAATCGATTAGATAATATTCAAGAAATTGTTGATAGAGTTCTGCGACCCTGGTTAGATAGAAAACGAATAAGGATGGATCGAAAAAATACAATTAAGTGGTTTAAAACACAGCACAGTTCTAAAAATTTTTAAAGTAATCGTCCACCCGGGTCATGATTTTTTAGACGGGTTGAAACACTACAATTCTGCTAAATTCTTTACATTCACATCTTAAATAATTATATGTTAACATTGCTAAAATAATCTATAGTTGCTCTTTACAAACTGACAACGGGTTTTAAAGTCTATAATTTATCGGAATTAATTGAGTTTTAAACTTCAAAGCTCGCAGTCTGATTTTCTTTCAGCTGTGCCCATTTTATTCACTAGTTAATGGATAGGATTTAGGCCTAAAGACTACTGGTAGTACAGTTAAAAAAAAGTTTTAAAAATCTAAAAAATTATATATTTAAAAAATTTTTATATACAAAGATCTGATAAATATACAAGTATAGTTTAGTACAATTTCTTTTTATTTTATTAATATAGTTATTGAAAAAAAAATATTTTTTGAACTACCATTTTTAGTAAATTTCAGTGTACTACCTGTAGTACACTTTTAAAGAAACTTTAATCTTAAACTTACTAATTAATTTTACAAAATAAAAGTTTTATTATACAGTCAACTCCCTCTAAGTGCAACCTCTCTAAGTACAACTTCTCTCTAAATGCAATTAAATAGTCTGGTCCCGTGTTGGGATTTATAATATAAATGCAAGTTCTTTATTCTCTAAGTGCAAGCTATTTTATGGCCCAAACATATTGACATCTCTCTCTATATGCAAGTCACCTGACTTTTAGCCAATCAAATCTCATGTTATGTACATTATGGCATTCTTATGATTTTGTATAATTTGTACAAATGAGATCACACTATCGTGCAAACTCTTATGATTATGAATTTTTTCTTGTTATTTTTTGTACGTTATAAAACACAGCACTCTATGTTACCATCCCAAGACATTAAAAAATAATTGAATTTGTCAAAAAACAATTCTCAAAGAACTTGGTAAATCAGTATAATTGCATATGAAAAAAAAGTTTAAAATAATAGCAATAATTTTTGTATCGCTATAATAAAGCTATCTTAATTTGTGAGAGTATACAATTCCGCAAAATCTTCATTTTTTTAAACACTTCTAAATTCTTTTTTGGGATACTGTCACATATCGTTATATTTTAATTACAGTAGAATTTTCATGAGGTCATATATAATTAAATTCTTTTACGACTATATTATTTTATATGTAATATATATATAAGAATAGTATGCAAGTTTTTATATAATCATGTGTAATTTTTGTAGCAAACTCTACTACTTTACTAAACCATACTCTACTACTATTCATAATACCAATTTTATATATAGCTAATATATAGTAGCTATATACATACGTATATATGTATGTACATATGTATGTATATTATATTAATATGTATCAATATCTGATATGCAATCAAGATATATTGATTTGCTATATATACCAAAATTGACCAATCATAAGCATAAATATGTATCACGTGCTAAAATAGTCAATTTTGAATATTTTTCTCTAAATGCAACTTTTCTCTATATGCAAGACAATCTATCAGTCCCAACGAGTTGCACTTAGAGGGAGTTGACTGTATAAAGAAGCTTTAGGGCTTATTATAATTAAAAGCTCATTATTAATTATATAGTAAAGGCTTATTATAATTAAAAGCTTATTATTAATTATATAGTAAAAAATATAATTTATATTATAAGTATTGTGTAACAATAATAGAAAATTATTGCTATTTTTAGTAATTTATATGTATTTTTTAATTTTTAATCAATATTTAAAATTTTTTTAATGAATAAATTTTTTAAACTTTTAATAAAAGTTGTAGAGATTAACTATATGATTTGAATTTATTAAAATTAAAAAAGATAAATGAATTTATTAAAAGTTATATAAATTTAAAATTTAAAAAATATTATCTAATTTTTTAATATAGAAGTTTTTTAACTTTAGTATATAGTAAATTTTTTTATTAAGACAATATATTTTATTTTCTAAGCAAAATTTTTAGAATATAATTTTATATATAATTATTGTTTTAAAACTAGTAAATATTTATTTTTAATAAAGTTATATATATTTTTTATACAAAATTAATGGAATTTTAACTAAATTTATAAGTATTTACTAGTAAAAACTTTAAATTAAAATTATTTTTAATATATTGAATTAATTTTAATAATTTTAGTATTATTATATTAAAAAAGTTTATTTTTATAACTTTTGTTAAAAATTTAAAAAAAATTATATAATAAAAAAAAATTTAAATAGTATTCAAAGCTTCTAAGATAGCTAATATTTACTATATAAAACTAGGTTCAGTTAAAGAATTCTAGGTAAACAAACAATTTTAGCAAATCAAAAATACTCTTTATTTGTACCAAACTTTTTTATATACTGCACAAGACTTCATTAACTATAGAAAATTATTTTAAATATAATTAATTTATAAAATTTCTAAATAATTGTCTTTAACTAGTATCACACTTGAGTACAAAATACTACCAGTAGTACGCCTAAATCCTATCCATTAATAATAATTAAACCCCTTTACAATTACCAATTACTAATTAATCACAAATTAATAAATCTGATTGGCTACAGTATATATCAATATCGATAATAACACTTCACAATGCATCTGTTTTAAAATATTTGCTTGATTAAGAAATAGTGCAAATTCGAAATATTTTGTCAGTTCAATTTTATTGAATTTTCCTGTAGGTTATAGTTGTGATATGCAAATATGCTCGTTTAAGAATCAGCTGAATATAATTATCAGATTTTTTTTACTTCTTTTTAAAAACGCAAATCTCATGCGCGTCTTTTTTATTAAAACTAAACTTTTCACTCTTGCAGCCTGTTTGTTCGGCATATAAATTTGGTTTTGCATTTTAGAAACTTTCGATTAAATTGTGAGAGATAATCTAAAATTAAGCAAATTAGTCAATTGATGTGTACGTCACTAGGAAGTACTCTAAATTTACACATAATGAAGTTTGCGTCTAACCGGTTATCACACCTTCAATCGATTACTTTTTTCAACAAATCGACCATTGTTACGTTTATTTGTATTGTCATCATTTATCTGTCAAATAAATCTGACAAACAAAATTAGCCCAGATTTTTTAATGTGGGCTGGGCTGCGAACTACAAAATTTACACTCATCCCATTATTTAGTAATCATGCATTTCAGTTTAGGTTGCAATCATAATATAAGTTTCATAAAGACTTTGACATTGACACTATTAATAGAGATATTAATAGAAGATCAAAATGGCAATTCAATAAACTTCTATTAATAATGATTTTTACATGCATTTGTCTTTTTTATATATTATCGAAAAAGGCGACCTCTGAATAAAAGCAACCCCTCCTAATTTTGGAACAAAAAGTTCTTGAGAAAGTTAATAAATTTTAATAACAAAGTTGAAGCAATCTCTTCATTTTAGTCCGAAATAACGTTCACTTTTTTTCTTGCGACATTTTGGTTGCTTTTATTCGATAGTATACGCTGCTTACATAAACTTTAATCTTATCCGGTTTGTTTTTATTTATGAGATTATGAAAATTTAATTGAGGCAAAAATTATAATTATTATATAGCAAATAAAAGTAATGAATTTTAGAGCAACAGTAATAAAGTAGATTTAAAAGTTTTCTGACTATTATAAATCTGACTAGTGATGTACATTACTTCTCGAGTCATGTAATTCATTAATTCTCTTTATGGAAATAAATAATGGGCGCGTGATTAATGGAAATTAAAGAATGGGCTTATTGTTACTACATTAATGGAAATTTAAGAATAGATGCATCATGCATACCTAGTACGTAGTACAGGATTACAAATATCTATATTTTTTCAGTAAAACCCTAATCACATATTTTATGATTAAATATCTGCTTCGTTGAAGATATTAAAATGATTCCACGTCAATCAAGAAAAATATCTTTTTATGATGAATTTGTTCAAACAGTACCAATAAAAATTATTCCATGGACTCTATTTTTTAACAGCATATTTGTACTTGTGATTTTCATAACTTTTAATGTCTATGGTATGTTACATATCTTTTTATTATCCTTTAAACTATCAGGTAAATTTATCTGTGAATTGTTACGATTGATTCATCAAATTATATTAAATTTAATCTATATTGCTGTATACTTTAAACTTCACGATCCTTATTATGATGACAGGACAGTTTAAGAGATAATTAAGAGATAATTAATTGATTTAACTTAAATATTAATTTTTTTCTATATTATGTAGATAGTAATGCAAGTAATATATTATATAAGGAAAATATTCATAGAAACAATACAGATCTACATGGAATATATGGCTACGATGAGTATGAATTTATTTTTTTTATATTTTCTTATCTAAGTTCCAATATTAACTATTGTATTAATGTCTTATAGTAAGCTGGCATTTACTAGCATAATTTGTTATATAATTAATTATTTTATAAATGGCTTCATTTTTTATGGCTGTCCCTGTTGCGTTTTTAAGATAATTTCTTGGGACTGGCATCATTTAAAATTTATAATTATAATGAATATGTAATTACAACTATTATTTTTTTTTTATAAATTTAATATTTATATAAAAAAACTAATTGCTGTTTATTTGTCATAGATTATTGGCTTGCAGTTATATACCACTTGCATTTCCATATTTAAAAGATCAAATTGTTGGCCCAGATCATCAAATAATTTTATGCGATCATCTCGAAGTCTCGGAATCATGGCTAAATAATTGGTGTTCTTTCCATAAACCTATTATTATATTATCATGGCTATTGATATTTGGGTGGTTTATAACTTACCCGATTTATTTGTTTATAATATTAATGATTTTAGGTAAAAGAGTCTATAGGATTTTAAGCTTATGGATCGTTTATCAATATCAATATAGAAAGGGATTATTCTTAACTTGGTTAAAAAAACGAAAAGAAAGATCAATGCAACAGAATAAAATAGTAACTGATAATATGAACATTAAGGAAGATACAACTAATAATGTCAAAATAGTTGTATTTGAATAATAAACTATAATTTTAAATACTGTAGTTAATTTATTGATACGTATATATTAGGCACAGAATATTTTGTCTTGCAAAATTTCAAAATATGATATTTATTGGTTAAATAACTAACATACTCAAATTTTATATGTGATCATAAAAATGTGCTTTAGTTTGATTTAATAGAAATAAAAAAAAATAAAAAAATTTTAGCTTTAAACTTTAATATAAAGTATACTATTTTAAATAAATTATATATGGGTTTTTCTAAATATCTTTGGCCAGAGATATATAACTTATATATCTCTGGCCTATTAGCCAATCAAAATAGGCATAAGTCACGTGACACACTTTCCGGATTACTAGAAGATCAGAAAGGTTCGTATAACTCTGTATCCGACCTTACTTCATCACCCAATAATTATTCAATCAAATTGTGCATAATCGCTTAATCAAATTAATTAATTAAACGCCATATATATATTTATTAAAAAAAAAAAGCACTTAACAAATACATCATTGAAAGCATTAAACAAATATATCATTGTTATATAACCCCAAAAAACAATTAAATATTGTCACCTATTCAATGAATCAAAAAAAAAGCATAATGAATACAACAAATGTTGTCGCATATTAGTGTAATGAATATAACGAATATCATTATATAATAGCAAACATTATACACCAAATGAATCCTATATAGAAAACACACTGACAATAATATCATTAAACATCATCGTGTATATCTTTATTAAAAAAAAAAAAAAAAATGCTTAATGAATACATCATCGAAAGCGTTTAACGAATACATTATTATTATATAACCCCAAAAAACAACAAATATTGTCAAAAAAAAGTGTAATGAATACAACAAATATCGTCGCATATCATAACAAAAAAAAGTGTAACGAATATCGTTACATAACCCAGGAAAACAGAGAATATTATACATTAAACGAATCCTATGTAGAAAGCACACTAACAATAATATCATTAACGGCGACGATGATAATTCCCAATTCCACATTCTGGCAAACTAAAAACTAAACAAGCCAAAGAAAAGAAGAAAATAGTTAGCAAATACAGTAAGACAAAGAGGAAAAAAAAAATACATAAGAGTACCAAAAAACATGTAAACCTGTAAAAACACCAAGAAACGCACAAGATCACTTACAAGAATGCTAGAGAGATACAAAAGCCACTCCACAAAACACTGGTGAAACTCAAAAAAAAATGAAAGACCGTCAGAAAACACAAAAAATTACCTGTATCAAAAAAAATACTTAAACAAAAATACATAAAACTACTCTATAAGAGTACTATAAAAACATTGAGAAAAGCACAGGACCACTTACAAAAAAGCCAGAAAGCCACTCCACAAAACGCCAGTGAAACATTCAAGATCACTCTTCAAAAGAATGCCAGAGAAAACGAAAGACAACCTACAAGAACACTAAATAAAATGAAAGACAGCCTACAAGAATGCCGGAGAAAACGAAAGACAATCCATGAATGTTGAAGAAACACAAAAGATTACCTGTAAGACCACCAAAATTAACACCAAAGATATATAGTATAAGCTAAACCTAGAAGAAATCTAATAGCGACACCAACAACAATGCCAACTGCAGCAACAACGACGAAAGGTAACAAGCTAAATAAATAAATAAATAAATAAAAAAAATAAATAAAAAAAAATAAATAAAATAACAAAAAAGCGGGGTAAGCAAAAGTGAAAAAAAAAATCATAATTAAAGATGATCTATATGATCTGGCGATGCAAGGTATGATCGTTCGACCTTATATCGGCAATCAGATTAACATATAAACTTTCAATCATGTGATTTTCTCAATTTCTAATTGGCTAAAAAGGCCAAAGATACGTAAGTTATATATCTCTGACCAGAGATATATAGAAAAATCTATTATATATATATATATATATATATAATTTAATTTATATAAATATTATTAATTAAAATTATATATAACAGGCACGGGACTTGTCCCCCGTGATGATCTTCATATTTATTAAATTTTGTGTAATATACGATACCGTGACTTAGTGGTAAGATAACTTCAATAAACGTTTAACTAATAATATTTCAACCTTAGACAACTTTT